CCCCCCACCTTTCATGAACATTAGTCTCCCTAAATGAAAAGTTTTAAAAATATTTGTAAAGTTTTAAACCTGTGCAATGCCAGCGCCCATGAGCCCACCTCCAATAACAATAAACTCTTGAATTTTAGCCCCGAAGGCGTGGCTGGAAGATAGGGAACGCCTACTCAGCTGGTTCATAAAGGCCATCTTGTCTGAAAGAGATTTTTATTTTTAAAGTTTTCTTACATAATCAAGATCAAATTTGCATAACTTAATGGTCCAAACACCAAGCATCTAATTGATAAAAAATAATTTAAAAAAATGGCTGGATCTGTTAATTGATGATCTATCTCTGTTTTTACTAATATCGCCATGTTCTTCTTTAGTCTTGTTGAACTCCATGTCTCTGCACATGCAGATTTAGATTACGACATCTCCAAGTTATTTTATTTGTTCAGGATTCTGGATTTGATCTTCTGAACACCCCATACCTGGAAATTTTTTAAAAAATTTTTCTAGATTCAAGCCAACAAATGTATTCATCTATTTTTCAGAATTCGAAATTTTTATAATTCTATTGGCAACGCTCAGAATTACAAAAATTTGTCTCCAAAATTTTTTGATCTTTGTAAAATTTGGAAAATCCACGAAAAAATATTATTGAATCGGCGAACTTTATTGTTATTGTTTTATATTGTACAAAGGTAAGATGCCCAAAAAAGTTAAAATAGAAGAGCCTAATACTTTAAAATTTATAGATTTTTCTGTTTTCTTAGGTAGAATTTACTTGCTTTCAAAATCAAATAAATTCTGAGATATTAATTTAAATTTTACGGACCATACACCTTTTCTTGAATTCACGGGTCATGTTAGATCCCATCAAAAATACTAGTTTTAAAAAGTGTACCTCTTCAAATGAAAAATGAAAAATAAAATTCTCTCTGATATCTTTACGGACTAACATGTCTTTCATGAATCTTGATCAAGATTTGAGGATAAATACTGACCTGACTGGTCCGACCTGCTCAGCTAGTCTTTCATCATTTATCAAGTTCGGACTCAATACATTCTGATCCTAAACAAAAGATAAATGACGAAGGTTTTATTGTGTTATTCTCATTATCGTCATCGTCATCGTCATCGTCATCGTCATCGTCATCGTCATCGTCATCGTCATCGTCATCGTCATCGTCATCGTCATCGTCATCGTCATCGTCATCGTCATCGTCATCGTCATCGTCATCGTCATCGTCATCGTCATCGTCATCGTCATCGTCATCGTCATCGTCATCGTCATCGTCATCGTCATCGTCATCGTCATCGTCATCGTCATCGTCATCGTCATCGTCATCGTCATCGTCATCGTCATCGTCATCGTCATCGTCATCGTCATCGTCATCGTCATCGTCATCGTCATCGTCATCGTCATCGTCATCGTCATCGTCATCGTCATCGTCATCGTCATCGTCATCGTCATCGTCATCGTCATCGTCATCGTCATCGTCATCGTCATCGTCATCGTCATCGTCATCGTCATCGTCATCGTCATCGTCATCGTCATCGTCATCGTCATCGTCATCGTCATCGTCATCGTCATCGTCATCGTCATCGTCATCGTCATCGTCATCGTCATCGTCATCGTCATCGTCATCGTCATCGTCATCGTCATCGTCATCGTCATCGTCATCGTCATCGTCATCGTCATCGTCATCGTCATCGTCATCGTCATCGTCATCGTCATCGTCATCGTCATCGTCATCGTCATCGTCATCGTCATCGTCATCGTCATCGTCATCGTCATCGTCATCGTCATCGTCATCGTCATCGTCATCGTCATCGTCATCGTCATCGTCATCGTCATCGTCATCGTCANAGTCTAAATACTAACCTGAGTTGACCAATCCAGTATCCTGCTACACCAGAAGCTAGGAGTAAACCTAACCTGGATACACTCCTACTAACTAAGAACAAGATTACTATCAGTAAAGGGGGTCTTTACTCTTCATCAATTCACGGGAATTCTTACTTCTTAATTCTTCTTAATGTGTATAAGATTAAATAACTTATAATTAAAGATTATAGATAAAAGTAAAGTATTACGTATTGAGGAGCTTATATTTTAGTTTCAATACACAGTTATGTACAGACAGACAAAAACATAGTATACACACATAGCTTTGCTGAAATCTGTATAATAACGCAAGGCATTCGTATGTATGTTTCTTATAGCCGGCCAAACGGCTGGACCAAATGGGCTGAACATTTTTGTGGACACTCATTGATAGCCTGGGGGGTGGGGAGTAAAAAACGTCATCGTCATCGTCATCGTCATCGTCATCGTCATCGTCATCATCATCATCATTATTATCATTATTATTATTATTATTATTATCAACAATCAACCTACAGACTAAGTACCATGACCTGTAGGATTTAATACAATAAAAGATAGAATTAAGCTCCGCCACTTACCCTGGGAGCCCTGGTCTAAATGGGCTTTAGTGAATCATAGTTGACCTGAATTTATTATGATTCAGTGTGTTGAGCCAGATACTAAAAAAAGGCGGCACACACACTGGTCGAAATGTGTAGGTTTACAGTTTATAGTTTAAAAAGCGTTGAAAACAAAAAGGTTGCTATGTTTCTGATGCAGTTCATGTAAATCTGTTAGCCATGATTCTGTTATTTCTTTCAGACCAGAGTACATCACCATTGACCATTGACACAGAAAGATGGAGAAAACAAATATTTTAGATAAAAAAAAATATAAAATTGCAAAACACTTCACCTTAAACTCATCATCAATCTCAAAACCAGGGTCGAATTTCGGCTGAAGGTTGTTCTAAAAATCAATTTTATAATTCACGGTCTCAAAAACTTGAATATTCTTGTTCTGTAATACAACACATAAATCATTTCCATTCAAGTTGCAGGATTCATGGAGCAAAGCAAATATGAAAAAAATTACTGGTTGTTAGTTTTAATTATCATTCTGCATATGGGACTACCGGTTTAATCAAAGAAAGATTAAAAAAAAACATTGGACTTGAATTAAAAATATATGCTATAGGGTATTAGGAGTAAAATCTGAAAACCCCCCCGACATGGGAGAGCTCAGACAGCCATCTGAACTAGCCCCAAGAGTTATACCATAAGTATTAGCACTATGCATAACTAGTAATTAACTTATTCTTATTCTTATCCGAAAATATTGTCTTTGAAAATTGATCATTTATATTTCTCACTTCTCTACAATGTGACTCACTTACGCATTTCTGCTTCAGAAAATAACAAGGAAACATTTTTCGCATTATTGGTAATTGGTGAGATCAAGGTTTAAAGGGTATTGTTGTGAAACAAGCATGTACAGTGTACACTGTACACATTGTACTGTACCTCTTTAAATTGAAATTACATCGTCAGAAGATTCAAATGTGTGTTTTAAACTACAGAATAAATGTAAAAATAATCCATTTTAAACTGTGTATCATCAAAATCTATTTATTTATTTATAAAAAAAAAATTACCAATTCTCTTTGTTTAGCAAGCTGTCTCCACTTTTCTTGATTAATAGGAGAAAATATTGAATAGGGATAGGTCTGGAATCCATCTTAAATTCGCAAAATTTAAATTAATCTATATATAAATTTGGCTTGTCTGTCTGTTTGTTTGTATCCAATAAACGTCAAAACGGCTGAACCGATCGGGCCCAAATTTTTTGTGGGACATCTAGGGACCCCAGGGAAGGTTTATGAATGATCAAAATTTCAAATATTTGTCTCCATCAAAATTCGATCTCATTAAATTTTTGAAAATCCACGAATTTTTTTGTGAAAATCCGCGAATTACTTTTTTTTGTTTTACGATGTACACAAAGAGAGAACATGTTCACAATTAATTTAGAAGATGAGCGCGAAGCGCCCTCTAAGGCTAGTTTTCCAAAAATCAATATTAAAGAATCTGCCGTTAGAAATAAAAACTAACGAAGAAAAAGTAAAAAGTCTGTCAGTTCTGATTCGATTGATTATTTTGACATGTAGAAATATTAAATGTTAAATGTAAGAAATCGAATTAAAGTAATCAATGAAGATCAATACAGTGAGACTCATAAAACTGTGGAACAAAAAGAGGTGATTTAAACAATCTTGTGTGTATGTGTTTAAGTAAGCTTAAAATTAACTTAATGTACAAAATAGGTCTGTGTACCTGTTTTCATGTTCATAAAACTATTTAAAATAATAACTGGTGTCTATTTAACAGTCATCTTCTTATTCCACAGTTTTATGAGTCCCACTGTAATTAGATTAAAGAGTCTGCCGCTGAACATTAATTGTAAAAGGTTTCAGAGTGGTGATGCTGATTTCACCAATAGTTTTACTTGAAGAATTAAATAATATTTTCTTACATTTCATCCTGATATCCTGAGCAACTACTCCATCAGGAGCTAAGGACAGGAACTTATCACGACAGGGAGCAGAATAACTAGATAGGGAGCAGAATAACTGGATAGGGAGCAGAATAACTAGATAGGGACAGGAACTTATCACGACAGGGAACAGAATAACTGGATAGGGAGCAGAATAACTAAATAGGGACAGGAACTTATCACGACAGGGAGCAGAATAACTAGATAAAGAGCAGAATAACTGGATAGGGAGCAGAATAACTAGACAGGGAGCAGTATAACTAGATAGGGAGCAGAATAACTAGATAGGGAGCAGAATAACTAGATAGGGAGCAGAATAACTAGATAGGGAGCAGAATAACTNAAACTAAATTTTCAAATTATTTTCAGATTTGTTTGGTCAACAAAAACTGAGAATCAAGGCACAGTTCATTTTAGCCGAATCTTAGATCCAATTCGCCACTTTAATGACTGCATTTCATGATTGGCGTCAAGATACAAAAAAGGTCGGGCTGCCTGTTTACTAAAAATTATCTCATCGCGCACAAAGTAATATCAATCTCCATTTAAAAGATATTATCAAAAAACCTTTACAGTGTTTAGATTTTTGTATTCGCCTACTCGAGTTCAACATCTACAACAAAACTAATTATATGCATAAAATTTGAAAAATTAGTCTCATCACACCCACTACTGAAAATGAAGTATTTAGTCCACTAATAATGGGTTAAAAATTTCCTCTCAGTATAAAGAGTTTAAAACAACATTCAGAGGAAAATGCCGCAAAAATTCTTAAAGCGAAACTTGAAACTAAAAAACGTAATATATTTCTAGCACTTAGGTTGGCATATCTATTGATTTATTTTCGAAACTAAGGAGCAATAAAGAAAGCTTTAACAATATTGTTTACCATAGGGCCATTAAAAGAGGTCAATTTGGTCTTATTTCTAAGAAATAAACGATTTAATTTTATGCTTTTTTGGGCTGATTACTATTTGAGGTGGTGGAGATGGTAATTACCAATTGAGGAGCGCGCTTGCCGCAAAACAGATTTGGGTGGCGGTGATTACTATTTGAGGAACTCTGGACTCCCTTCCTCCTCCAGGAATGGTTTATGGATGATCGACTTAACAAAATTTTCCTCTAACAAAATTTGTTTGATGAAAGTTTTGAAATTGCACCAATTTTTTTTAATATAATCCGCGAACCTTTTAGTTTGTTTTGTTTTACAAAATGTTCAAATTGTAAAAGATAATGGTCGCGAAGCGCCGAAAAGCCTAATAATTCAAAAAACTACGAAATATAAACGTGTAACCTGAACCAGAATCCCTCATCCTGACACTCAGCTATTATAGATTTCTCCCGAGGAGTTAAAATACTGTATTTATCTAATACTTTCCCTCCTGACAGTGAAGCACCCTGAACAAAACAGATTATCAAGTACAATAGGTGGCAACAGAGAAATAGATTATCAAGTACAATAGGTGGCAACAGAGAAATAGATTATCAAGTACAATAGGTGGCAACAGAGAAATGGACCAATTATACATGACGTCACAAGTGTATAACAAGGAAGACAACTTGTTCTCCCTTAGTTGACAAGTTTTCCAAGATGTAATAAAAAAGTGTAAAAGCAGAAAATAAAGAACATAAAATGGCTATTATTTCAATGCAAGAAACTTAATTATCACTTTTATTGCTAATTTTATCGGACACATAAAAATGTTGACAGTTGTGACGTAAGAATACAGCTGTACTGAGAGTGTTCAAATTCTACGTTGCCATCTCTTGTACTTGATAATCTATTTGCCCTAAACAATATTATTTATTGCCCTCTCCCCAACACAAAATTGTTGCGCCCCAAATCCCCCTTCCCTTCCCGTCACACCTGTATACGCCAATTAATTATTTTCAAATTCTATTGAACCCAACCGCTTTTCTTACAACATTCCCTTCCCCCTTCATCTATAGTAATCTTTGTACTACTCCATTTTCCTTATCCTATCTAATCATCATTTACCTTCCCTTCCTTCCATCCTAACAAATAAGTTCCTTTTCTTAAACCAGAATTTTTTTTATCTTTATTTCTTCACAAAAGTCAGACTATATCTTCAGTTTTTTAACGTTAAATATACACGCAAAGATAAATATGTTACCTTAGTGCCCCAGACTGTAGAATCTTGTTCTAATGATGGATCAGGCATTCTAGCATTCATCTGAACACATCATTTTAGCATTCAACTAAACTAAACACTAAGTTTTAGCATTTATCCTAACACAGAGTTTTAGCATTTATCTTAAAACACACAGTTTTAGCATTTATCATAATACAGAGTTTAAGCATTTATATTAATACATAGTTTTAGCATTCATCTAAACAGAGTTTTTGCAATCATTTAAACACAGAGTTTAAGCATTCATCTAAACAAAGAGTTTTGGCATTCATCAAACACAGAGTTTTATCATGCATTTAAACAGAGAGTTTTAGCACTCATTTAAACACAGAGTTTTTCATATTCATCTAAACTTAGAGTTTCAAAATTCATCTAAACAAAGACTTTTAACATTCATATAAACACAGAGTTTTATCATTCATCTAAACAGAGAGTTTTAGCATTCATCAAAACACAGAGATTAAGCATTTATCCTAACACGGAATCTTAGCATTCATATAAACACAGAGTTCTAGCATTCATTCAAACACAGAGTTTTACCATTCATTCAAACACAGAGCTTTAGCATTTATTCTAAAACATAGTTTTATTATTTATCTTAACACGGAGCTTTAGTATTTATCTTAACACAGATTTTTAGTCATTATAATAACACAGAGTTTTAGTATTAATCTAAAGACAGAGTTCATTTATCTTAACACCATAGTTCTAGCATAAACATAAACAGAGTAGCATTCATGTAAACACAGAGTTTTGGCACTTATCTAAACACGGAGTTTTAGCATTCATCTAAACACAGAGTTTTAGCATTCATCTAAACACAGAGTTTTAGCATTCATCTAAACACAGATTTTTAGCATTCATCTAAACACAAAGTTATATCTTTTATCTTAACACAAAGTTTTAGCCCTTTTAGAGTTTTATCTTAACACATGGTTTGAACATAAAGCTAAACACAGAGCAAATTTTAGCATTTATCCTAACACAGAGTTTTAGCATTCGTATAATAAGAGAGGTTTAGCATTTATCTGAACACAAGAATTTAGCATTCATCTCAACAGAGTTTTAGCATTCATCTAGATAAAGAGTTTTTGCCGGTAAGGCAAAAGGATTAGATTAGTTGGTAAAAATTGGCCAAGGAAGAAAACAGATAGGAGGGTGGTGTAAATGTAATGTAAATATGTTTTAAGGTGGGGGTGGTAGCTGTTGTATCCAGTCTATCTAACACTTTCTCTCTCCTCTCTGTTATCTGCCAATCAGGTTGTTTAATGAGCACTATGATTCCGATGATTTATTAACGTTTATAATCCACGATCACATAGGTAAAACAAACTCGCTTAAAGGAAGCCAATTGCGAATTTGCGAGAGGCTTAGTGGGATTTCTTAGCAACACTACATGATGGTGTGTGTTCTTTTTACTGGTCGGGCTTGTACTACTTAAAATCCTGGTTCGATTTCAGGGTAAAAATAGCAAATAACAATTTACAAGATAAACAAACATAGATCTAAATTGAATGATAAATTGATAAATTGATACATCATTAAATTAATAATTCTTGTTTTGGGATATAACCACCCCTAAACCAAGCCAACCATTTAAAACCACGCAGGTAGAGAAAAGATAGAGATCCAAGCGCCAGATACAACTGGTGTATATAAAGGTATTCTAAGAGGGCATTCATGAAACAATAATACATCATTAAATCATAATATTTTGTTTGCTAGTTGTCATTTGTCATGTAAAAAGGTCGGCAATAATATAAAACATTTCTTTATGATTTTATAAGTAAAATCCCAAACTGTAAGAATCCCAAATGAATGTTAACCAATGTTGGGATTGGAAGGATTGGGATTAGGATGAGGACTAGGAAGTTGGAATAGGTTGGACAAGGATAAATTGGGAATAGATAAAATAGGTTGGGAATTGGGATGGTTAACAACTAAAGAGGAAGTTGAGATTGGGATTCAATGAATGTAAGGATGATAAAAGGGTTGGTAAATCGGAAGTTGGAGTGATTGGGAAGATTGAGTAATGAATAGATGTTCTAAGGGGACCACTGCACAGTATTGGAAAGAGAATCAGCAAGATATAGAAGTTCAGAACAGAGATACAGATAAAATAAAATACGTGTGTAAAGACTATGAAGAATATGTAGCTTAGTGGATAAAAATGTTTAATAAAATATGAGTAAAAAACTATGGAGAATATGTAGTTTAGTGGGTACAAATACAATACAATACAATAAGGGGTGAAGACGACATTTTGGAAGGGATTAGCGGATTGCTGTTAAGTTGGGATAAGAGAGAGAAAAGAGTATAAAAATCATCATTAGAATCACTCAATACTCTGAAACAAGTTTTAACATTCATATAAACACAGATTTTAACCATTATAAAAGCCTTTAACTAACTAAGAGAAAAGTATTCATCTGATTATCATTAATTTACACTCATATAAATGATTTTGTAAGAAGAAAATAGACTGGCATTGGTTTTCTGGTGAAGGGGTATATATTTGAAAGAAATACCCCCCTCCCTCACTACCCTTCGGGACCCCGGGGGTTGGGGAAGAATGATTTCCGTGGATCAATTTAACATAACCTGACAAATTTCTCTTTTCAGTGTACTCTTTTCTCAATACTCATTTCCCCTTAAAATCAAGTGTTTCCACTTTAAGCAAAAAAAAACTTAAAAACATTCCTCACATAACAATTGAAATGTTTCTGGTCAGGTCACAATGAAAAGTGCCATTAAGAATTCACAAAGACTCTTAAAAATAACTTCTGGTCAGGTGACAATGAAAAGTGCCATTAAGAATTCACAAAGACTCTTAAAAATAACTTCTGGTCAGGTGACAATGAAAGTGCCATTAAGAATTCACAAAGACTCTTAAAAATAAATCATGAGGATGGGTTTAGACCCTTCACGATTCAAAACTTTCATCTCCAAATCAAATCAATTTAAGAAATCTACCAAGGGGGTTCGTATTTTCAAGAAAATGATATTTTGACGCTCTGCTCAGGGAAAACTTGTTAATTATCCGTTTTTATTCTTTATAAAATACTATTCACCCAAAATTTCATTTATTTGCCCCAGAAAATCATTTTTTAACAAGTAAACCCTAAAAACATATCGAACATTTGGGGGAAAAATATGATTTTCTTAAGAGTGAGGTGGTTATATTTATATTTAAAGAAAATATATCCCCTGATTCCACCAAAAACATTAAACTAAAAGTGTCTGGTGGATTTCCAACACGAAGAGGAGAATGAAAACGACAAACACAAACACACTGATTTAAAAACAATACTTGAACAGCCGTTTTTAGAAATGTAAGGGTATTGACACTAAAATCTTACATTTTGAATAAGGAATTAAGTTACTACTTAAAACAACTGGCAGAAGTTGAATAGATTACTGGAATAAAACTGAGATCGTGTAAATCCGTCAAGTTTCATTTTTTAAATATTTTCCAGATGTTCTGATTGTGTTGTTATTAAAATAAAACCTGTTTAAAGTTCAAAGTCGACTACTTAGAAAATTATCAGCTGATTTGAAAAAGAGACTGCAGTTTAATGTCTTGTAAATGGAGACAAATGATCTCAACTTAGTTCAAACCCTTAGGCAGGCAAAGAAGGTCAGTATTAGGGAAGGGGGATTTTTATTAAATCCGCAGAAACTTATTTAAAAATATTTATTTCTAGGTAATGAAATATTGTTCTGTAAAAGACTGTAATAGTAAGTATTCCTGTGAAAATGGAATCCTGCACACGATAAAGAAGTAGAGGATTTTACATGAAAAACAAATTCTCCATTTAAATATTTTCAGAAATCACCCCCCAGTACTGTAATATACAGATTGACCTTTGGAAGTGAAGTACATGGCCTGTACTGTAGTGAAAGGATTAACGAAAATCATCACTCTATATACTATAACCTCATTGAGCACACTGCACATAAATGATAAAGGGAACATTTATTAAAATTTTAAAAAGTAAAATTTTAGACATTTCTTAAATTATTATTACCTTCTCATGAAAAGAAGAAGATTGTCTGTTAGAAATAAAAAAGCCTTCAATATATCAGTTTTATAAATATTACTAGACAGAATAATTTATAAGATATCATAAAAAAACTCTTGAAAGATTAAAATATCAAAATGAAAAATACTAATATATTCCTGGTGAAGATTCCTGTTTAACTAAGATAACATCCTAATCTGAAAATAAAATTAAACTATTTTATTTAAATACAATATACAACCTTTTTGTCATTTAGATAATGTTGTGCTTGACTGTCCAGGGACAAGGTTTAATGAATGAAGAGAAGCGGGTGAATTTTAATGAGGTGGTTGAACCAATTCAAGTTAAAGGGAGTGACTGGCTGGAAATAGCAGTTGAGCTGGGAATCCAGTATTGTAGAGAAATGTTTTTGAATTCATTTGAAACCCATGAGACGTTTTTACGGTGCATATTTGTTTGGCAAGACCCCAAATTTTTAAAATCTTAATAGATTGTTAACTTTGGGAAGGTTGATTTTAAGAATCGGTTTTTATTCAAAATATTCATTAACGACAACGAATATTGTAACAAAAATCTACAAATGATTTAAAAAAAATTATCTCTACAATACTTCACTCTCGACTCAAATATAATGCCTAGCTAGACACTCCATTTAAAGCACAAATACAAATAAGTGATTAAGAAATGTACCTACTTCCAGCATTTCATTAAATCTGACCCTGCTGTACATAATTTACATAGTAACAGATCTTTACATTAAAAAAAAATGAATTAAAAATAATGTGCTAGTAATAAGTCTAGCAATAAGTTATAAGAAATATATATATACTGGAAGTTATTTATGCGTTTTTATTAGAGTCTGGCTCACGACCTCTATAGTGCAATATTTTTTTTTTGTCAGAGAATACGAGTAGGGATTTTCTGAGTAATAGACAATAGACCTTAATCAATTCAAAGCTTAAAATCAGTGCTTAGGATCCGGATCCGGATCCGCTGGATCCGCATTATATTGGCTCTTTGGATCCGGATCCGGATCCGCATCAAAATTAAATGGATCCTAAGCACTGCTTAAAATAATCATGAAAGGAAATGTAATTTCAAGTTGCCCTCTAAAGAAGTGTGTCCGATTATCAACGGTACCCTTCAAAGCTTTGTCATATAAAGTATGTAATAGATATCCTTGTTTTTGTTTCTAAGCATTGATTATTTTAATTTTTGGCGTCTCTACAAAAAGGACTTTTTTGCTTCAGAAACAATAGGGAAATTATCAGAATTTCAAGCTTTAAAGCTTCCACCTTATTGATCACTGTGGTTGCAAAGGTACCATTGTGAATCGGGCATGCCCCTTTTTCATTGGCGGTTCACTTGAGACAGAGAGAATATGGCCGGCATTTGTCTAAAACACGAAAAGGTCTCCGTTACTGATCGTCAATGACAATTTTGGATGAAAGTTAACTTGAAAAGATTCTCAGAAAAATTACAACACATTTACCCGTAATATCAAATTGTCATGCTCCGTCGTGATAATATTTCGGGATTTTGTCAATATTTAATATTTTGGGATTTTGTAAATATTTAATATTTTGGGATTTTTTCAATATTTAATATTTTGGGATTTTGTAAATATTTAATATTTTGGGATTTTTTCAATACTTAATATTTTGGGATTTGTCAATATTTTGAACTTAAAGTTTTATGGCATTTACATATTACATATTTTTGTGTTTATATACCTAAAATCAAAATTTAAAAAAACAAATTTTTTTTGGAGAGAGTGGGGGGTTTATTTTCATTCCGAAATGATTAAGAAACGTAAGTGAAATTAACAAAAGGGTTTAACTACTAATCCTTAGTTTCTGAGAAGTTGGTTTGCCCCTGAGCATTCCATAGAGCAGCATAGCGACCGTCAGCTGCTAGTAGTTCATTGTGGTTACCCTTCTCTATAATCCTTCCCTGGTCTAGTACTAGGATCTGATCACATCTCATTATAGTACTTAACCTAGAACAGGACAATGGATAAATATTCTTATTATAGAGCTTAACTTAGAACAGGACAAGGGGTAAATGTTCTTATTATAGAGCTTAACCTAGAACAGGACAAGGGGTAAATATTCTTATTATAGAGCTTAACCTAGAACAGGACAAGGGGTAAATATTCTTATTATAGTACTTAACCTAGAACAGGGCAAATTCTCAAATCCCGAGATGTAGAAAATTATAATCCTTTAAGAATTTGAAACGTAAAAGACCACCCTCTTTAAATATATCAGCATTTATTAGCTTATATAAAAAATTCATTTATTAAGAAAAGTACGTAAGAGAATGGGTTTTTTTTGGTTTCACGATTAAAATTATTTAGCTGAAAAGATATTATTCCTTTGAAGAACCTGTAAACGTAATTTAAAGGTACCTTCATTTCAGGAGTTACATGTTAAATTCACAACAGTAGCTTAACTTTACGAGCAAAATTAGAGATAACCCTGTTTTTTTTACAAGATAGAAAACGAGAACATTTTCATTTTGTTAATTAGGTTAACATTATTAGAAAACAGTTGTGAATAGAGGATCAATTGAAATTATGTCTAAAATCCCTATAATGTCAACACTAAGCAGCGAAGTTTGCTACAATTAGATAGGATTTAGTTAAGTCAAGTTTACCTGTGTGCTATTATAAATGAAGTACAATTAGATAGGATTTAGTTAAGTCAAGTTTACCTGTGCGCTATTATAAATGAAGTACAATTAGATAGGATTTAGTTTAGTTAAGTTTACCTGTGTGCTATTATAAATGAAGTACAATTAGATAGGATTTAGTTTAGTTA